AGTCTAGGTTAGAGAAATAATTCTATAGTTTTTACACATGCAAAGTTTAAAAAATATTATTTCTCTAAATAAATATGCATAGTATTCTATAAGGTGTGCTGTTACATACGAATTTGAAATATTTTAGGATAAAAGCTGATGCTACTATCAAAAGACAAACTAGCATCTAAATTTATTCTGTAGTGAACAGTTTAGTTAACCTTGGAACAATCAATTTATTTAGTGAAAAGATGCCAATTCAAACTTGGGGAATCTAAGAATGGTGAATATTAAATTCAGAAAGTTTTTTTTAGGCTAAGATTTAAAAGAGTAAAAAGTCGGGATTTAAATTTTAGCACATTTTGAGGACATTGAAAAATGAGCATGAAATTTAGAGCCAGCAGATAATTAACTCTGTTAGTTACCGACTGAGAAACCTGAGCAAACTACTTAACCTTCCTTATCCATAAAGCGGGTTATTTATTCCTGACCTAAATTACCCATCAGGTTGTCATAAGGACTGGTACATGAAATGTTTGGTAGGTTATAAAGTACTATAGAAGTTTTTTTTTTTAAATTATATTTAAATTTATCTCACATTATCACTCAAATAATAGAGTAAAAATCTCTACGCTTAAGAACCTGTAGAGTCAGGTTCTTAAGGGAGAAAGCTGATACATAAAAAAGGTCGTAAGATGATAGAGTATAATTTTTCTCTTTCTAGATGATTTGCTTTGTAGAAACACACAGTACATATCAGTAGAAAAGAGGGGCTAGAGTGCTCGCTGCATCCTTTTAGAATATCACTGTCGGCACTGGACACTAGCGCTCCCAAGAGGTGCAGAGGGGTATAGGGTGACAGTCACCCATTCCCAGCCCTTCTGGGTAAATTACTGATAACTAAATTAACCTGTATAGACACTGTAATCTGGTTATATCTTATAAGCTTTAAAACTTCTAACTTGGTTTAAAATGGCAGTGCCAATAAGGCTGCGCCAATCTAACTCAATTTCAGTTAGGCTAACACTAAGCACATATTGGCCAACTCTGTGTGAGAAGAACAAAGAGTATTAGAAATATGGCAAACGAGAAGGGAAAATGAATTTGAGATGAGCTCTTGGTATGAGTAATACAGTCACAGTTTTTTTATATTAATAGTTATGAGCGGTATAAACTAAAGAAACGTACAAAGTCAGGACTGTAGAATACATCTTAATACCTGCTATTAATGTCAAATTACTTATGAACTCATTACTCATCTTGTGTTTTGTGTTCATTTGTAACAGAAGTTGAAATTTATTTTCAGGACTTACTGGGAAGCTTTATAGAGTATATGGGGAAGGCGGCAAATAAAATATTGTAAATGACTGATAATCCTAATTTAAAAACAAATAAAATGGTTTATTTTCTTCATTTTCCTAAACCTTTGAGACAGGAAAAATTAGATATTAAGTGTGTAACAAAATGTTGGAAAATTTCCTTGCTGTGAGACATATCATTAGCTCTTATTATAGGTAACTAAATAAATGAATTGGCTCCATTCTCTAATATTTTGGGAATAAAGCCAAGGCACTTAATTGTTATTATTTTTTTCATTAGTATATAATGTTTTTGAAAAACAAAAATTATTCAAATCACAGAATATGAGATTCTGAGTGTGACAATACAAAAGCGAACCTTAATTTCTTTCTTTTCTCCTTTTAATTCAAGGTTCTTAAGAGTGTAGAATACAGATCGATATCCCCCAAAGTGTGTTTTAGGGTATACTAAAGTGAGATAGTCTTAAGTAAAAGGATTCATGGTCAAACATTTCTGAGAAAAACTGTATTACATCCTGCTTGGAAAATTCATGATATATCGTAGTAACGCATTAATGATTCTTAGAGTCTTATGGTAAAGTCAAACAAAATTTGTTTTAACTATTTAAACTCAATATATTTATTTATTTGATCACTGATCATTTTTTCCCCTTAATCAAATGGAATTAGTATTCCTGGAAAATACTTTAGGAAACACCACAAATAGTCTCTTTTATTCCATTTCAATGCTGGTATCTATCCCCACTAAAATATATATATTTAAAATACCTAGATTGGAAAGAGAAACACCTATGGGTAAGATAAAACTATAAAGCTCAATAATAAAAGGATTCCAATACTAAATTCTGGAACTTATACTTAACGAAATGCTGAAAGTTCCTTTATTGACTGGTTATTTATATATTTAACAACAAAATCCTTAGAGGAGACTAATAAATATTTTTTAGACTTCGAGGTTATAGTAGAGAATTTTTAGTTAACCAAAAAACTAAAAGCTTTTCACAGTAAAAAGGTGAATCGTACATTAGGCAAAATAAAGTATACTTTTCATATTATGCTCTAAAAATTAGATAACTACTAAAACTATTTTTTTTCCCCATGCCTTTATTTCAAACAACATTCAATTTTATAAGAGCCATGAAAATGCTGCAAAAACCTTGGCGACATTGGTGTTCCTCAACCTCAGGGTCTAGAAATTTTTAAGAATTCTAATATCCATGGACAATATTCACATACAGAAACACAATGAAATAAACTCTGTGTTCCTATTTCAGTTCGTTATTCTACCCTATTCCACTGGTGCTATAAAACTGACATACCACAGTAATCTTATGCTATATATTAAGGCTCTAGGAGGCACATATAAACGTTTCTATGCTGGGTGACTTTCAAAAGTCATGATTCATAAAATGAAAGATTGTCACTAGGAATTGTGAAGGAGACTATTAAGTACCTAAAGTAAAATCTGATCGGAACTGATCAGTGAGCATTTTTTATTTTTAAGGAATAAAAATGATTTTAATCATTTTTCAAAATCTGTGTATATATAAAAATCTATAGATTTATAGTATATATTTTAGCCAAAGTTCTCTCTTTAATAACATAATTGACTTTTTGACTTATTCCTGTATTTAGAGGTAGGAAGAAATATTAAGTTATAACTAGCACATTTACTATTACTCCAATATAATCTGATTATATTATTCGTATTAAGTAGAAAGAAAATATGATGCCATTATTCTGATAAGATCTCACGGGCCTATGAAATACAGCTATAGACTGTTAGGCTTTTTATGTTTTAAAAAATCATAAAACAATCATTACTCCTTAGTTACTTTCTATAAAATGTCTAGAAGATGTATAAGGTTCATCTACAGTAAAGTTCTATTATTCTCTGAGCTTGGCCTTAAGGGTACAGATGTGAATATAAGTACAATTTAGGCTGAGATCCCTCACAATGTGTACAACTTGAATATAGTTATAAAAACTTGATTATAGTTATAAAAAATATATCACATAGAACTTCTTTTAAAGCTGAGAGTCCAATAGCTCGACAGCTTTAAAAAGGTTTCTCTAGAAGAGAAAAACTGAAATATTATTCAAAGAGAAGCATATTTTAGTGTATAATTATGGAGAACTCTTCATGGACCTGTGGGGTAAGAAAGAGAGTAAGAGTTTGGCCTTGGCCTCAAAGTCACATGACTCCAGGAAGCGCTCTTCACAATGCACTCTGTATAAATGGTGCCCTCTGGAGTTGTGCTCTGTGACGTGGCTGAATCAAGGAAGCCTAAGTCCCTGTCCCCACTGCTAACTATGTGACTTTAGGGAAGTTATTTAACCTCTCTAGAGCTTAAGGTTCTCCTTTATTAAGATAATACTAAGGACATATAGGATAATCCTGTTAGCAGGTTAGGTTTTAGAGTTACATAGTAATTATGGAAAGGATTTTTTTTTGATCTTGCTATACATTTAACCATACCTCAAAATTATCATCAACCTATTATTTCAACAAATATTTATGGAGTGCCTTCTACATACCAGGCAGTGTTCTAGGCATTAAGGACACAGACGTGAACAAAAGACCTAAAATCTTGGCTCTCATGTAGCTTATGTTTTAGCTCTGCAGAGAAACATGTAATAAACAAAAAATACAAGACATGTCAAGTGGAAACAAGTGATATGACGATAAAGCAGCCTAAGGGGATAGACAACGTCAGGTGCTATGTGTGTGTGTGTGTGTGGGGGGGCTGTTTTAGATACGCGTGTCAGGAAAGCCTGCTTCGACAAAGTAATATTTGAGCAGAGAGCCAGGTAGTGGGAGACGCCTGTGAATATCTGTGGTATGTGTCCCAGGGCTCGAGACTGGCAGTGCCAGGGCCCTGCGGCAGGGCGTGCTCGTATTTTTTGTCCCAGACTGCAAGGCCAGCGTGGCTGAGGACGGGGCGCACACACACAGATGACAGGAGATTTGGTCAGAGCTGGAGTGGTGTTGAGGGGGCAAATCACGGAGGGCCCTGCAGGCCACCGTGGGATCTGGAATTCTATTCTGGGTAACACAGAAAGTAAACGGAGGGGTCTGGTCAGAGGAGTGACAAGATCTGATTCATTTTAAAACATCACGCTGGCTGCTTGGTGGAGAACATACCTGGGTGTGTGGGAAGAGACTCAAGACTCAGTAAACGTGAAATGTGGGAAACATACTTGTAATGTAAGTTATTTTTCCAAATTGATGCCAGGAGTTATTCTAAGACAAAGTAATTTGAAAATGAAGAGGTCTTTTCTTTCAACCCAAGTTAAATTTACAAAGAAATAAGATGTAAAGAGTAAAAAGCACTATTTAAATGAAAGATTGATCACTAATTATCAAAATTGTTCTGCCTGACTTTTGATTCAGATAAATCATCAACTAGATATACAACTTGCTTTGCTGAGTCCCTTGGCCCCAGAAGGCAGAAATCTGTTTCATTGAAATAAAAATAAAAACGGGTACCAAATACATAAAGTCTAAAGAAAAGGAAAAAAAAAAAAGGAAAAGGAGGTCAAAGCTTATGGCTCTGGTTTTAGCAATACTTAGGAAATTCAGAACAAATGTTTTAAAATCACAGTGTAAAATTTCTGCATCTCTTGAACTAGAAATAATACTTTGCTGAAAAGATGTGTTAAACATTCGACACATTAACTGATGACTATAAATGAGCTCACCTATGAACGGGATGGAAGCCAGCGAGTCACCAGGTGGACTGGTACTTGAGGCCTTCCTCTCCTCAATCCTTTTTATATGGACCTCTCGGCGCGCGTCGTTAGGCAGCCAGCAGGTCGTGTCTGACCCTGTCTCCTGGTCATTTACTGCTAAGATGTAAGACTGATGCCTTAAAGGCTGCGGTGTCTGACGACCAGATGGAGGTTTTTCTCTTAGAATGACAGTTTCTTTATTATCTAAATTATTTGACTGCTGAATTTCAACCTCTTGTAAATTTAATTCTTGATTCCTTTGAGTGACAGGTAATTCTACCTCTGAAGTGCCAGAGTTCTCACCCATCTGAAGGACAGGCTTAACAGAAGCTCCAGAAAAAGAGGGGGTTTTCCCAGCCTCTACTTGCTGGTCGGGGGCACTTCCAGTTCTTAACCACGTCAGCTGAGTCAAAAGACTATTTTGATGCAAGTGATTTACTGGTCTTTGGTCTTTGATAGAAACAAACGAGTTCTGGCTAAATGATGGTTTCGTGACATGCGAAGAAGGCGCTTTCAGAGAATTACTTCTGACTTTCACAAGAGGTGACCTGTCTTGTGAAATACCTTGAGGAAGTGACATTCCACAAGCGGCTTGAAAATTTCTGTTTGACTGCAGTGTTTTTAGGTCTGGTGGAATTTTTTTAAACTGAGACCCGGATCCCACTCCCCTACCACTCATCCGCCTGTTATCCGAATTAACAACACTCGGAGCCACAGTAAAATTTGAACCTCGGAAAGCTTTGTGGATTTCTTGCTGCCTGGGTCTTTCATAAATACCTCGTCTATCATCCTGCTCGGTAAATCCACTCCACTTATAAGTCTGTTTTCGTTCTCCATTTGAGTCCGGTATTTGACTTTCGGAAGTGACATTTTCTAAGGTTTCACCCTGCCCCTCGATATAATCCCACGAACGAGTTCTATGATTGCTAAAACTAATGGGCGGGGCTGTCAGGGCTCCCTGCGACGCACTGCGTGGACAGTACTTCATTAACACAGAGTCCTCCAGCCTCTCCTGGGACACACTGCGCTGCCGGATCTGGACGGACTGGGGCACTCGGTCGTGAGAGGTGCTGCGGCGTCGTACCTGCAGGGTCGTGCGGTTCGGTACCACCTGGTTATAATCTGTCGTGCTCTGAGACGCTGCTCTTAAACTATCTAATCTTTCTTGAATTGTCCGACAACCCATGTGCAATCGTCTGTTATCAATATACTCTTTGTAAGTTTTATAGTTTTTCCAGTCTATGTGCTGATGGGAATTTGGAGAATAATGATTAACAGTTACGGACGGAGAATCCACAGCTGGAGATCTATTGCTCGAGATGCCTTCTGAATGTCCACTGTAATGGCCAGATTTGAGTAAAATTCTGGAAGGTTCCAATGATCTGGAGCCTGCAGTCTGATGAATCGGATGGGCAGTGGGAATGGATGATGACGGTGATGTGGTTCTTGACACTGTTTTTAAAGAGGGCTCACTGGCGCCATACCTCACCTCTTCAGTTCTATGTGACGGAACGGTATGGTTGTTTCTATTAGTTAACAAATCTACAACCTTCTCAGAAGGTACAATGACAGTCCTCACACTCTCGTTGCAAACACACACTGCCGTGTTTGACTTTGCAACATCTGTTGGTGATGGAGGCACTTGTATTTCCATTCTATAGGCCCTTCCAGGTTGGGTCTGTACTGGTGTACTGGTCTGCTGTTTGCTTGATGACAAGTCTGGAGGAGAGACTTCGACCGGCTGTGCCGTGGCCGAAGGGGCGGACGGTGGAAGCCAGGGGTAGCAAACCGGTGGAGGTTCAGGGATGTTGCGGGCGTTGCCACTGTAGGCTTCGTTGCCTTTCAGGTAGGCATCTTGAGAATATGCCTACATGGAAACGAGAGAAAAGTGTCATTAAAAATTCACAAAAAGAACGGTAATACCCATTCAGGCAATGCACTGTGTTATTTTACTGTGCCCTCCTTTGCTCCTGACTGCCATTCACTAAAACATGCATGCAAACAACACGAGGGTGCTTGACAAATGGAGGAATGGGCTAGTCTCTCAGAAATCAAATAAATTGTAGAATATGCAACAAATGTAAATTACAATTGCCTGTTTTCTCAAAGAATCTGAGCACACTAAAAATTCCTCCCAACCAATTAAATATAGCCAGGTTGCTTGTAAAATTTCCCCCATTCAAGTTTTATGATTTTTCAGCAGTCGATGGGTTAAATGGCTGCCTGGTAAATCTCAGCAAAAGAAGATTCTGATCCTTTGCCAGAATGAAGGTAAAAATATTAAAAACCTTAACCTAAGACATTTTATGTTAAGCACTACTGCTATCATAAATGAAATGTCAATTCATGATTACCAAGCCCTCCAAAATAATCCATTTTGATAAATTAGGTCTTTCAACAGCCATGCTAAATATTTTGATATTTAAAATGAGAGAGGAATAGGCATGTTTAAGAAAGTAAGCACATATATTAAAGGCATAAAAAATATAAAAAAGTAATTCACCTTTCTATATTTAATTTATATTTTTTTTATTTTAAGCTAATGCAAGATTATATTGTACAAATTTATTTGGTCTCTTTTACTTATAAGGAGACATGTCTCTATTACTAACAGGCAGGCATGCAGCTCAAATCATTTTTCATCAACTATTTGTGAAATTACCTAGCAATATTTTCAAAAACTTAATAAAAACTGAAATTAAACACAGAGAGCCTACAGAACAGAGCTAATGGATGCAACTCAGGGCCAAGTTCAGCGTCTGAGACGGTTAGGTGTGGTATCTGTTACACATCCTCCCCTAATCAAAACAAGCTTAATTCAGGACTATCATCATATCCTGTCTTTGCATTAGACAGCTTGCAAGCTCAAGCGCAGCCACAAACATAACAAAACAGCAA